TAGTTCCTGTTGAGGTATTTGTTTCTTTGTCCACATCTTTGTGTTCATGTATGACATTCACGACAAAAGAATGACTTACCATAAGTTCAAGTTTTCGTGCACATGCATCTGATTCTTCGGGTTTCTTTTGATTTGTTTTTCGTTCACCATACCGGAACGGGCTGCGTTCACCAACTTAGCAAGGAATACACCATTTTTGCAGTTTTGGAATAATGCCGTAGGCGATTCCATCGGTACTAAGTTTAACTCTTGCAATACTTGTTCATTGCAAAGAATTGAGTTTATATGTGTCACCAGAGACTCAATCTCGGCGTTGCTTTCTACGCTATTTGCATCTAATCGCATGATGTACGATTTCTGATTGCTCCTATTTCCGGATTTGATAATAAATTATCCTTCCAGAAGTTTTTTCAGTTTAAGTTCGATGTCGGTCGTGGACGTGTATCATATATCGCTAGCCACCGAATATAACAAAGGAAGATGGTGTACAATATAAGAAGTCAATGACGGTGTATGCCGATATATGTACGTGCGTGTATATTTGGTATGTATAAGTACCTCCTTTGGATAGATTAAGCTGGTCTCAATAAATACATATCAAGTTACGCTGAGGCACACGTATCTGTCAAGTAACCTTACCATTGAAAGTTTGAAACAACATATGTATACATGTTAATATAACATATATTTCTCTGTGAGTCAGAGGTGCGAACTTTTGTGAAATAAAACGTACGTGATCTGATTGGTTTCGAAGTTGTTATCGTTCGAATCTCGAATGATTATATTGTAATTTGTAGAATGTAGTACATACGTCATAACTTCACTCTTCGTGCTCCTGGACGGCTGGACCCAGCTGTCCCAGAGTCCAGACTCCCAGAGTCCCCGGCTTGATCTAAAAATAGTATTTTTGGGTCAGGGATATTTTATTTCTAAATATTTTCAGGTCAAAAAATAAAAACCCCCATTTGTGGATTAGATAATAAAAAACCCCCCACCACATAAAAACGTAAATTTTCTAGTTTGATTTTCATTTTTTTTATGAGTTTCTTTTTGTTTATTGGTTTTTATAGAGACTGAACGGCTGAACTCTATACACCGAGCACATCAAAGTGATCAGGCCATCAGCATATTTTTAAGGGACTACGTTAGTACGTAGTTTACTAGTAGTAGAGCATGTACATAGTTGCGAGGTCTCCTAAAAACCCCTGTCACCAGATTGGTCTAAATCAGTGGCACGAGAATCTCTGACCAATGAGAACATCGAATTCATACAATAAATATAGTCATGCAAATTTTGTGAACACATTCGCTTTTATTTCTTGTTTCCGAAGTGATCACTTTTTTGGAGTCGTCTGGTGTCCGTCATGTGGGTATTAGTATTGTGATGAGATCATGATGATGATGAAGAAAGAAGCCCTCTATGTTTATCTTTCCGAGATCAGGTATCGCGCACTTCAATCGAACGATATTTATTTTACTCCAAATACATCAAGCTTCAGGCGGTATATAGTCGGCATTTACAAATAAGCGATACCTCAATGTAAATTTCACTACAACAAGCATATAAAGTTAAAAACCTCTTGTCAGCACAAGAAAGGTATCAGTGATATCGCGAGACCCTCACAACTCCCCATTTTAGCAGTCTATTGCTCTGGAATAGTAACGATATTAAGTGGAAAGTCCGATACGGGGTCAGTCAATATCATTTTAGTATCTTTGTAGTATCTATAAATCGTGCATACATATTGGTATTAGGTATCTATTTTCTCAACAACAGCACTTAGCAAATTCTGAATGCTCATTCTTTGAAATTTTTCGAAGATGGATGCCCTTGTTGGACAATATACCACTACTGCTGGCTTAGCCCTGGCCTCAGTGTTAGCCGCTTCCGCCGTCTACAAGGCTATTAAAAAGGTAGGATTCGCTATCAAGCGTTTGTTACTCACGTTTCATACACACACACACACACACACATACACACACACACACACACA